CCTGCATCGGGCTCCCTGCTCGGCGGGGAGCCTGCTTCTCCCTCTCCAACTCCCCCTGCTTGTGTTCCCTCTCTCACTGTCTCTCTCTGTCAAATAAATAAATAAAATCTTTAAAAAAAAAAAAAGTCTTAACTGTAAATTTCTTTTTTTTTTTTTTAAGATTTTATTTATTTATTTGAGAGAAAGAGCAAGAGAGCACAAGGCAGGGGAGGGGCAGAGGGAGAGGGAAAGGTAGGCTCTACCCTGAGCAGGGAGCCCAAAGCAAAGCTCAATCCCAGGACCCTGGGATCATGACCTGAGCTGAAGGGAGGTGCTTAACCTGCTGGGCCACCCAGCCTCCCCTTAACTGTAAATTTCTTAAAACATTTCTCTATCTATCCCCATTAATCTTCCAACTCTTGCAACAGTTTATACAGAGCTGTATATATGGAAGGTATGTAGTAACAGCTTATTGAGTTAAATGCAAGGACATTAATCCCAACACATCACGAAACCTGGTTAATAAGCATCTCCTCTCATGGTATTAAAAGACATCTGGTTTAGGAAAGATTAAAATATTAGGAATACAATAAATGCTGTACAGAAAGTACCTAATAAACCTCCTCCCAAAACAAACAGTATTCTAAATGAAACCCAGCCCACAATTAAAATTTTGTGTGTCTTAAAGTTTCTAAATCACTTGAAAGGCACACTCCCACTATACCTAAGGCCTTGAAGTAACCATTGCCACTAAAGCCTGGAACCAACATCATGACCTAAGTCTTTTGGCTCCTATCCAGTGACCCTCCCACCACCTCTTACTTTCCCTAATTATGGTAACAATTCACGTCTGATCTATTTGGACAGCAAGAAAGTTTATGGCTTCATCTGCTTATCGTTTTTCCCTTTTAGGCTTGCTAATCAAAGTATGGTCCATGGGCCAGCCACATCATCATCTCCTGGGAGTATTTTGGGAAATGAAAAATCTTAAGCCATCCCAAAGTGTATATCTTAGCAAGATACCTATTATTATTTGTATGCCCAATGAATTCTAGAAGAACAATTCTAGACAATAGAGAAACTACATTTTTAGTTTGGACACTCTGTATCTGAAATGAGTGAGTAATTTTGAGCAGCAAAGAGCAACTGAATACCTTAAGTCAATGTTGCTGGCAAGAGAAAAATACCAAAAATGAAATAGGTAGTGAATTAAGTAGTATATAACAGGAATTGTTTATTAAATTTTAATATTGAAGAGGAGAATACATTTTAGCATTATTGAGACACATAAGTACCTTACATTTATTAAATCATGTTTGGCATAGTTTTTGAATTTTACAAAAACCTTTTTCATATGCCACCACATAGAAATTTATAAACCTTGCCAAACAAAATTTGATGGAAAATTTAAGAAGTTTCTTTCACTGAAATATTGTAATAATCATTTTCCAGTTAGGAAAGAACCCCTACCTCCTCTACTGCAACAATTTCTGGTTTTCTGTAAAATTTAATTATCTCTGTTCAATTATTTTGAAAAAGAGAATAAATTAGCAATTTTTTTTAAAGGACAGTACATTTCCAATTCTTTGTATTGACCCAGTACCTTCCTTCTCCTGAAAAGTTAGTTGTGAACCATGAGTCTCTTCTGCTGGCTTTGCAGATATGAGGTCAGGAAGTTCTAGAAAGTGTAGTGTTGAGGATTGAGATATCTGATTCATATAAGTTTGCCTGGGCTCTCGAGAGACCTGAAGTGGAGAACTCAGATCCAGGAGCTCCAAGAGAGGAGCTAAGTGCAGAGCCCCAGTGGGATTGCTCTTCTAACTCTCTTCCCTGAAGGATATTGAAATATTCTGTGTATTTTTAATGTCCCAAGTAGTTTTCAGTTTCTTTTTTTTTTTTCCAAAGGAACGACAATTTTTTTTTTTTAAGATTTTATTTATTTATTTGAGAGAGGAAGAGAGAGCACATGAGAGGGGGGAGGGTCAGAGGGAGAAGCAGACTCCCCGCCGAGCAGGGAGCCCGATGCGGGACTTGATCCCGGGACTCCAGGATCATGACCGGAGCCGAAGGCAGTCGCTTAACCAACTGAGCCACCCAGGCGCCCCACGACAATTTTATATCGATTTCAAGGGCATTTGGGCTTCATTCTGGGTAGATAAGGTACCAAAGATAAGGTATCCTTCTGTATATTAAAAATATACAGATATGTGTAGATTGAATTAAACATTGGCTGATATCCAAAGGAGGGACAATTGTCTGACCCAGAAAAGATTGCTGTTACACTTTGACTCCTGAATGTAATAAGATATTGGGGTAAGAGGGAAGTATTTAATTTTGCTTTAGTGATTTACACCAGTTTGACTAAAATCCTTAGTAAGAATAGCCAATTAAAGTGTCACAAATCTTGAAAAAATCAGTTCAGTGAACAAAGAACACTGGATAAGAAGTCTAGAGAGCCGGGTTCTAGTCCTGCCTTTATAATTAGCTGTATAATCTAAGGCAAACCATTTAATATCTCTGGATTCGGTTTTCTCATTTGCAACTTCCTACAAAATCCTGGGTGCAGAGGGGAGACTACTTTACTTACTCTGGGAAATGATGAAAGGCAGACCCTGCATAGGAGGCTGGATCACTTTCTTCACCAGCAGACAAGTCAGGATGACTACATTCTGAAACCAAAAAGTGCCATGAAGACCTACAGAAAAAATTATGTTTCCGTGAAAAGGGACTAACTGAGCAGAACTTTACAGAGGGGCTATTTGATGTTTTTAAATATGAATAGGATCTAATAGAAAAGGAAAAGAAGCACCATAAGAAACTTTATGGTGCACACAGGGCTGCCAAATTTTTGTTGCATCTGTAAACACCAGCATAAACATAACCATCATCACAAACATTATCCTTCTGAAAAAAAAAAAGAAAGAAAGAAAGAAAAAAGAAAGGAATGTCTAAACCTCTCCAACAAATGTCAACAGACAAACTTACACCAAGATATTTAATTTTCCAAAGTCATATGTTAGGGAATTGGGAGAAAATTCAATAAAAATTAACTCAAAATTATTCTACTTTACAGTAAAACTAAAATCTATTTTACTCATTTTTTTAAACAATTGTTCTTTTAAAATAAAGACAAAAATAAAACAAAATTAGGATAAGAACATCTGTGTGCATGTGGGTGTGTTCAAATACCAAAACAGCATAAACATCAGTATTTCATTAAAAAGAATTATGAAACAGACTCAATAGCATCCAACATACCATATTAACTCTCATAACTGCACCTGGCTTTAATTACTCTCTTCTTGGAAAATTGTTTCCATTTATTTTGTACTTGCAATCTCTTTCACCATCTCAAAGCATCTCCACCATTTCTCCTCTACTCTAAGGCTATGGGAGGGACCAACCTATCAGCAGGCTGGCAAGGATGAAAGGTCTAGACCACATGCGACAGGGCCATCTTTGGACAGGTAGGCAAAACTAATATTTCAGCTGACCTCTGAATGGTCACTATTTAATTGTGATTTGTGCAATTAACTAAGATCAAAGCGAATTTACAGACAGTTATGTAAACTTTTCCACAAAGAGAAAAAATTGTTAATTTGTTCACTGATATAATGTAAATAAATAAATAAACCAAAAAAAATTTTAGTGGAACACAGTTCACTTATACACATACACACACACACACAACTAAAATTAAAATGTTACATTATTCCATGAAATAAATAAATATATCTAGATATAGATATAGAGACAAAGATAGATATGTATCTCAAGGAAATTGTCAAATTCTACAAATCAAGGCTCTTTCTTTCTTTCTTTTTTTTTTTAGAGCCAGGTGTTAAATACTTAGCAACACACCACTGGTTGCAGACCACCAACTGCATTTCACTAGTTATTTATGGGTCTCAGCTTACAGTTAAAAGGACACTGAATAACATATAGTTTCCAGGACCTAGAACCGCCCCTACCCCTGCCATAAATGTTAGTTTTCTTCTTAGCTTCCTCCTCCCACCACTCTGATTCAAACATGTATGTACAAATATTAAGCAAAAAAAAAACCAAAAAAAAACCCACAACTTTTTGGTATATATTTACATTTATTAAAAATCAGAACACAGGGACGCCTGGGTGGCTCAGTCCATTGAGTGGCTGACTCTTGGTTTCAGCTCACGTCATGATCTCAGGGTCGTGAAATCCAGCCACCAGTGAGGCTCCACACTGAGCATGGAGTTCACCTGGGATTCTCTCTCTCCCTCTCCCTCTGCCCTACCCCCGCTTGTGTGTGCACTCTCTCTCTTAAAAAAAAAAAAAAAAAAATCAGAACACCAATGAGCAATACAAAATGTGAATGAGCCCCAGGAAGGAAGGGAGCACTGAGTAGAATTATCCTGCAAATGAACAGAAACTTGCCAGCGACTATGATTAAGATGATACATCAGTGAAAACGCGAGTGAAATCCGTGGCCTCCAATACGCAGTTGCCCTTCTTTCCTTTAAGAAACGTTTAACTACACCACAGTAAAATCTAGTAAAGGTTTAACTGTCTGCTAAGGAACAGAAAGTGAGTGGAAATATCACAAAAAAGTGCTAGTGGTGGTAAGAGGGGGCAGCAGCCCTCAAGCTCAGCTTGTGCCCTGATCCCTTCCAAATGGGGTAAAAGTCCTGTGTGTCCTCTTCACACCATTCCAGACTTTTCCTCATCTTCTCTTTATCTTTCTTTCTTCTTCTTTGTTTTTCCTACCTAGAAGTAGTGGGTATATCAAGTATTCTGAAAAAGAGGGATTTGGGGTTCAAAGAGAAGATTCCTTTTTTTTTTTTCTCAAGTCTTAGAAATGAAAAGCTTCCCATGGTAGCCAAAAGCGTGTGCGTGCGTGCGTGTGCACGCACACACACACGCTTTAAGTGACTTTATTCTTCTAAGTTCCAGTCCTTTTGCCTCAATTCACTCATACAGAAGAAGTTTATTCAGTTTCTTTTTGAGTAAACAAATTAGTATTATGGAAATGTGAGCTGAAAATTTTACCTAGTAAAATGTACTTCAGCGCTCTGCGAAAACCAGGGATAGAAGAAACCGTATATTAAGGGATTACATGTGGAGTTAAAATAACCAAACCATGTCAAAGCATCAAACAAAACCACAGGAGTAGCGAAGTCCAAAAAGGGATCCAATAAAATTGTGAAGAAACAGGGAAACCAACATAATAAGAAAACACCCATCACTATTCCTAAAGTTTTGGCTGCTTTTTTGTCTTTCCTCATTTGGTTATTTTGATTTTCTGGCAAGTTATTGGTTGCACAAGGATGTTTTCTCAATACTGCAAAAATCTTGTCATAAATCCCCACCATCACAGACCCTGGAGTGAAGAAACCTGCCATAAACAAGGTGGTCCCCCATAGCTTGTTGAACATCACTGGACAGGAACTGGAACAAGCCACCAAGATATCATAGCCTTCTATCCCATTGGCATAGGCCTCGGAGAAGACCACCCCAAAAGCAAATGCTCCGGGAACCAACCAGCAGAGAAGTAGCAACCACTTAATGAGGGGAATTGTTATTTTTGTGGAATGATGTAAAGGGTAACAGATAGCAAAAAATCTATCAATGGCCACTGAGCAAAGATGGAAAATGGACGTTATGCTAAGCATCAGGTCAAAACTATAATGAATCTTGCAAAATGTAAGCCCGAAATACCAGCAAGTCTCCACTGATCTGACCATACTATAGGGCATGATGGTAAGCCCCAGGAGGAAATCAGTGACTGCCATGGAGAGGATGAGGAAGTTGGTTGGTGTGTGAAGCTGCTTGAAGTAGGAAATGGCAATGATCACGGCAAGATTGCCAAGCACCGTGATGAATATGGCTCCTGCCATAAATGAATACATAGCTGCTCAGACACCCAGTGGCCTTTGATTTTCTGGGCAAGATCCATTTCCATATCCAGAGCAATCCAGTATTTCCTTCAGAAGAAGTGAGAACACATGAAATGTTGTTAAAGTTTTCATAGACAAACTCAAGAAAAATATAGAAGACTCAAGGAAGATATTTAATTTATGCTGAAATATTAGTTATAATCTTTCTCATTTATTTATCCTAACCTTTATTTGCAACTTCATAGAATTTTAACCTGAGCTTAAATGATCATTATTTACTTTATACTTTCCTAGGTACAAATTATACCACCAACATTTTGTAAGCTCTTACTTTATGCCAGGGCCAGAAATTTAAAAAAAGGAAGAGAAGAGGAAGAGAAAGAGAAGACTGGGAGGAGAGGTGAAGGGAAAGAGAAGAAGCAACAAGTTCATTATCTAATTCATATTCCTTATGTTCATAGAAAGACTAGATATGTATTAAACAATACATTCACTCCTTCCTCAAATAAGTCTGGAACAAATAATCAGATTTTATTTGATTCAGGTCTACTGCCTTGTGGGACCAGGTTATTATCATTTGAAAATTGTTCCATTCATGTGTTGTGTTATTTTCATGGTGTTTTGATTTTGTTCTTACCAATGTTGTTTGCAAAGGAAAGAGTCATTTAAGGATGTCTAATGATCTAGTAGAACATCTTTAGCCAGTCATGGAGCCTTGACAAGCATCTCACCAGCCAGAGCAGCTCAATCAGACATGGGCAGAGGACAAAGTTGGACCACCTTCACTTCTTTGTGAAGAGCAAGCTCCCCTCCATGGTGCTTCCCCTCAGAGCCTCAGGCAATGCAAAGCAGGAAAAAATGAAAGCCTGATGTTTTAGTATGTGGGTCACATAGAGAGCTAGGAACAGATGGTAAGTGAGCTTTAGGACAACAAGCCATCTCCACTCCCTTCTTGTGTTGGCCCAGTATCTTCATTCTGCATATAAAAATCTGCATATATATTTGAAAGGAAACATGTTCAATAATTATATAACTTACCTTTCTTAAAGTATATTGAGGGGAAAAGCACTATCTAATACAAAGCATAACTATTAATACTGTAGAGTCTTTGGCCATCAAGGACTTCACAAAAATCAGACACGACTACTTACTAACAGATAAACCAGTAGATCCTCAGCCCCTGTGAGTACCATCACACACTGAGCAATAACTGTTTAGTGAGTCCCCACAACACACAAGACACAATGAAAGAACAAGAAAGCACTAGTTCACTAGCCCCTGGCTGCAGAGATTCTACAAAACATGTGATGAGGCAAAACACATCAACACATAAAACATAAATGATTCTGGGCGCCTGGGTGGCTCAGATGGTTGAACGTCTGCCTTCGGCTCAGGTCATGATCTCAGGGTCCTGGGATCGAGTCCCACATCGGGCTCCCTGCTCCTTGGGAGCCTGCTTCTCCCTCTGCCTCTCTCTCTCTCTGTCTGTCTGTCATGAATAAATAAATAAAATCTTAAAAAAAAAAAACCATAAATGATTCTGCACCACAGATAAAAAGCAACTATGGAGATTAACTGACCTGAGAGGGGTTTAGGCAAAACATGCTAAGATAAAAAATGGACAAGAGAATTTCAGGCTGGGGTAGACAAGAATGATCTGGTGAGGGCGAGACTTTCCATCTGGTTCTCAATAGATGAATGGAATTTAAAACAGAAGAGAGGGCACCTGGGTGGCTCAGTGGGTTAAACGTCTGCTTTCGGCTCAGGTCATGATCTCCAGGTCCTGGAATAGAGCCCCACGTCAGACTCCTGGCTCAGCGGGGAGTCTGCTTCTCCCTCTCCCTCTACTTCTCCGCCTGCCTGTGCTTTCTCTGTCTCTCTCCCTCTCAAATGAATAAATAAAATCTTAAAAAAACAAAACCAAAAAACAGAAGAGAGAAAGCCGATTCCAAGCAGAAGGAAAGATGAAGAAAAAGCATGAGGTTGTTCAGAGACTTTCATTCTAAGGGTCTCTGAAACAACACAGAGAAACTAAAGGGTTGAGGAGAAGACAGAGTGGGAGGAGGGAGCTAGTTTCATTGTTGCCCCCATTGTTAAGTCAGTGGTCTAAGCCAGCATATAATCAAGGAGCTTCCCCATTTTGTTCTCAAATTTAAGTAGTGATTTAAAAAAGAAAAAAATAAATAAAGCATTTAAGATAGCTGCAGGAGAATGAGTGCAGATTTGAAATTAAAAGCTTTCTCCAACTGATTCTTTTTTTATTGAATAATTGACATACAAGATTGTATTCGTTTTGGGTGTACAACATAGTGATTTGATATTTATACACATTACAAAATGGTCACTACAATAAGTCTAGTTATGATCTGTCACCACGCAAAGTTGTTACAATATTGTTGACTATATTTCCTATGCTGTACATTATTACCTCCCCATGTCTTACTTATTTTTTAACTGGAAGATGGTACTTCTTAATTCTATTCACCTATCTTGTCCATCCCCACCCTTCTGCCTTCTGGTAACCATCAGTTTGTTCTCTGTATCTATGAGTCTATTTCTGTTTTGTTCATATGTTCATTTGTTTTGTTTTTTACGTTCCATGTATAAATGAAATCATACGGTACTTGTCTTGCTCTGTCTGACTTATTTCACTTAGCATAATACCTTCAAGGTCTATCCATGTTGTTGCAAATGGCAAGATTCATTCTTTTTTATGGATGAATAATATCTCGATGTAGATATATATACCACATCTTCTTTATCCATTCTTCTATCGATGGGCATTTAGGTTGCTTTCACATCTTAGCTATTGTAAATAATGTTGCAATGAACATAGGAGACCATATGTCTTTACAAATTAGAAAATACAGTACAGTTCACCCTTTAGCTTATATGGGGTTTAATTGCAAACTTCTTTGTGATCCTGGCTTAGTGACTTTCATATTATTATCATCCTACTGTCCATTTTTGGAAAGTCATGCTCAATCCTTCTAAGCTTCAAATCATAGGGCACAGAGCTGACCTCCCTTCCCTGTAGCATTCAGGAACTGAATTAGCCAATCAACCCTAAGAACCATTATAAAGTTCTTTGAAACACATAGCATGATGCATACATTAGAATATGTCTTCCTCGTCCCCCCGCCACAGAGCAGGAAGGGGCACAGTAGATGACTATTTGGCGACTTCATCAAAGAAGATGCTTCTCTCTAAGCATCATTGTCCTCTATGGTGTAATGTGACATCCATCATCAGTTTAACCCTTTCGATGGCCAAACATTTCACATCTTTCAGTGATTGTCTATGAATGCTAGATGCATAAAACAATACTTTCAAGGCTATATTCTTCAAGTGTCACTAAAAAAATCTTTTTAACTATTAATATAAGCACATATAGATACATGGATGGCAAAAGAATTAAAGTCTGGTCTTTTCCCCATTATTGCTTTAAGAAGCACAAAAATTAAAGATCCAGAACATAACGAATCACTTGCCCATTCATGAATAACAAATAAATACTGTATCTAAACTGTATTCTACTAAATTGTTAAAAATAAAAGCTTTTTCTACATTCCCTGGGAAAGTGATTAAATTGCAGGACCATGACCATCATAATAGGAATTTTCTGATTTTTCTAATGCAATCTCATTTCTCTTTACCTTATTAAATTTGGTAAGTGCTGCCATAGTAAATATTCCTTCATTTTAGCAACCACTTTTTTAAACTTTTAACAGACTTTACAAAGTCCTTCTTCTGGCTAATTATTCTTTCTACCTTTCTGGAATTATTCTGCCCTTACCCAAGCTATTGGTTTCTTTCAGTTTTTCAATTTCTATCAAATATTCCATGTTAATGGATCATAACATATTAAATAACACAATGCCTGATATACAAAGAACATTATCAAAGTGACTTTCTTCTCATCTTTATTCCTTCCTTATTGGGATGAACACCACATTCAAGAATACATTTGACTAGAAAATACTGTTCCTAAGAAAGTAAAGAATGGGATTGTATGTAAAATCCTAGGTCAGCTTTAAACTTCTCTACACTTAGGTGAACACCAGTGATAATTTACTCAGCCACTTGTGAATTCTAGGATTCCATATCTTCTTCCCAAGAAACTTGTTGCACTGCCAAAAGGCAACACATTATCCTGTTTACATAATAGAAAGACTCTGCCTTTTATTACAAATTCGTATTAAATCCTGCACCTACCATCTTTCACATTCCTACACCTTCTCTTTGCACATGACAAAAACGCAAAAAAGAATCAAGTTGCACATAATGCTATCACACAATTAGAGTGACAATTGACTTCCTAATAAAACCTCAAGAAAGAGAAAACACAGGTGCATCCTTAATCCCTTTTCCATATACCTATTGTACTGCAGAAGATGCCATTGTTAATGAAACTCCTTCTGGAAGGAATTTTATTGCCTTGTTTCTTTTATGTGGAACTAGAAGACCTGAACTATGTGACTTACGCTCTTCTAGAACTTATCAATTAGTCTTGAGGGAACTGGGATTGAAAATTTTAAGGGGGGGGGGAGCAAAAACAAACCCTTGCTGTTCTAAAGTTGAACAGATTAATAAGCTTGAAGAACCCCATCCCCCGCCGCCGCCATCCTCTCAGGAGTGTCTGCTTACCTAAGTTGTCATCACCTGACCTGAGGTCTCGAAGTCTGCTATCACATAATGACTATAAAAGCCAATCTGAACTGTTGTGTTCATTACAGGTGGCCCTAAGGAACCTGATCCCAACCACACAGGGATGGGACCAGTGGTTCCAGTAGAAAAACGGACATGTGCCCTGTATCTCTTCAGGAAAATCCAAGATTGTCACAGTCCACATTTGTCTCACATTCCAGTCACTGAGAAGAAGCCGTACCATCCATTATTCTTCTTTTTCTTTTTTTTCCCCACATAAATGTGACTAAAAGAACAAATCTCATCAACCCTCCTAGACCTGGAAGAATGGGGCAACTTGCTAAATTCTCCTATAATTTGAAAAA